AAAAAGTCCCCCAAAACGACAAAAGTGAAAGAACACATTTAAGACTATTAAAAGAAACTCAAAAATGACGACACACACGCACACAGTTAGTGGCTCACTCACCTGCAGGTCAAAGAACTTGCTGTAGCGTCTGTAAATGGTTTCTGTACTGCCATCGCTCCAGGACACTTTGATGATGTAAACCTGGCAAAGCAAAATAAAGGAAAATAACATTGAAACTAATGCACAGCTATTATTGTGAAAAACTAAAGCCCTTGGGGCATCACTCTTCAGTCACTACCATTATTTGGGAGTGTTATGAATCCTAGAGAGGGCTGCATATAGCAGACATCCCATTTCTCTGGCAGCATCACGCAGCTGTCACTGAGTGGTTTTCATTACTGTAACATATGCTTCCCCACATCCCACTGCCTCCAGCGACCCAAGAATTGCTCTCCGGTCCCTTAAATGCACCTCAAGGAGATAAAGAAAGAGGAGGCTTTCAGAGAAACCTTGCAAAAGGAAACACAGGTGCATCCTACACAGAAGTCTCCAGTCTTGTGTCGTGACATTTAAATGCCACACTTCCATCCATTATGAGCAAATTGCTCCACTTAAAACACCCTGAAACCACCAACTTCTCCTTTCCTCCATCACATCTACCACATGCCATAGCTGGGAGGAGCTAAGACAGACTTGAGTGCAGGAAGTCAGGAGTCATGCTAATGAAAAGCCCCCAATGTCATCATCCGTTCACATGAAAAGAACAAGGATATCAGATGATTTCACTTCCTAGTGCAGTTACATCACTTCCTGCTGTAGAAAACATAATTGTTTGTCATAATTGTATACATGCAGAAGAGTGAAATAATAATAATAATAATTATAAAAAACCCACAAAGTTTGTGCTACCTTTCTAACATGGGCAGCACTAGGTTAGATAAAAAGAGGTTGACTGTGTAGGTGCAGCTGCAACTTCAATCAGACATATATCTAAAACAGTAAATCATAATGCACTTTAAATAATGTCAAGAGTTTGGGGACAGCAGCAGATTTTGATTTGGTTCTTTAAAGAATGAAAGGGGAGAGGCAGGGAGGTGATTGGAAACACCCTTGCGGCTTGCTGTGTTTGGCTAAATGCTGCTGGCCCCAATCCCAGACCCTTTCAGGCCTCATTCTCTTTTTTCGGTGGACTCGAATCCGATATTACGATGGACTGATCAACTACGGGAGCTATACAGACAAGCAGCAAGGCCATCTTCATTAAACAAAAGAAGATTCCCCAAAAAGACTAGTTCAGGTTCTGTCTGACCAACTACTAGAATTAAATTACTCATCAATGAGAAGAAAAACTAATCAGTGCAAAGATATCCTGTTGTGTCCTTGCTGCAGATAAAACTAATTAAGAAATATTTGTTATCCAAACTAATTTGCAGCAACTCATAGGAAACAGGAGCTGTTACAAAAAAACATAACTAACCCTCCTAATTAAAGTTCCAAGTTCAAAAAAAAAACTTCAGCCATTAGATATTTGCAGATATCGCTTAAGAATTAGAGCTTTGTGTGAGAAATTCTATAGGATATACTGAACTCTGGTGAGCAGACAAGCCTTACGCAGCTTTTTGCTATTCAAGCTACATGTTCAGACCTGAGACTTTAAATTTCCCGGAACCTTGAGATCTGTGTAAGAGAGAAAAGGCATAAAATAACAGTACACCAGAGACTGAACGAACAGATGGAGAAGACACAGGACCACAAGAACTCTGCGCCCTTGACCACTAACACTCACAGCGGTACAAGGTCTGCTGGTCCTTCAGCCCCCGGTTTAAATTTGCACACCCATATGGATGCATACAAGTACACACACACACACACACAGTGACACAACATGTACATGGAACTAACACAAACACCTGCTAAGGCCTTGGCTGCGACTCTCTCTCTTTCTCTGGCCAACTACACCAAGTGATGTCATATGTGTGACTTTATACTAAGTGCAGGATTGCAGGCAAATACACCCACATTTAGCTCTCACTAGTCACTAATAAAAGCTCTACTGTCTATGAAAAAAAGAGGCTTTGTCCTGATGACATTCTCGTCTCCCACACAAGGTCTGGTTATTAAGAAAAGAAAATTCTTCCCAAATTCTTCGTCTTCTTTCCCTCCCTTTCGCCAACTGTTGACTGGAAAAGAAACACACAACTCTCTAAACTAAAAATAATTTTTTTTAAAAAATAGTAATAAAAAATGACAATATCTGACACAGTCATAGCCTACTTGTCATAGCCTACAATGTTAGTCATAGCCTACTTCCTGGTTACCAGTGGCAACTAGCCAGTGTGGATAGTTAGGGGACTGGGCTGACTGTATATTATGTTTCTTGGGCTCTTCCACCATTGCAGGCTTCAGTGGTAAGGTGCTGCAATGGCTACGGTCACATGCATGTGATTCTGGGAGTCACTTAAAAAAAATGCACACTGAGAAAAGGGGTCATAGGTCACGTGAGTCGGCCACTCGAATGCTTCTTAATGATATCCTCACGTTTTTTTTAAATGACCATTTTATTAGGTCAAAAACAATCTGAAAAACGATAACAACACAAGAGCTTTTGACTTTGGGTCACTGTACAGGTTGCTGAAATATAACAGCGTAAATCTTGATGTCGGTCGTTACTGGTCTTAAGAATAAAGATCCCAACAGATTTAAATAGTCTGAGCATGACCTGAAGTTTTCAGAAATCATATTCTAATAAAGTCTGCTTGACCGTTTCGGCTGATTTGGTCAGCTGTAATTTGACACTCTCTTTGTTTTTTACTTTTCCCGACAGGACAAAGGGGGAGACTGCGGAATATCCGCGATCTGTTGCACATTTCACGCAACAAATCACACGGTTGTGGTAATTACACAAAAGGCTTACGTAGTGTTTGTTCGGATTCCTCCGCTTCTGGACATCTTGAACAGTTACTTCTTGCACGGTGCGCCGTGGCATGATGTCCCCTTCTTTTTACGGATCCGTTGAAAAAAAAAGCAAATATCCCTGTCGGTTTTTTTTTCGAGCGATCACACCCGGCTGAAAAAGTTTACACTGCGACGCTTCTTTGTCATCCGAATGGCTGGGATCGATCTGAACAAACGCCTTTTTTTCTCCCCGTAAAGCTGCCCACGTCAAAATTTCCTGTCCAACATTCAGACTCTCGCAAGCCAGAAGTTAATAATCGGTTCTTCCTTTCCCCCCCTTTCTCATGCCTTGTCCCGACCCGCTGACTGCCCCGACCAAACTCCCAGCCTATCCCAGCTCGCCTACTCCCATTTGAGCAACTGGGACGCTTCGTGGACCAACCCTCCAGCTTCAGAGCAAAACCACAGTCTGCAGGAACACTCGGGCTTCAGTCTGCACACTTAGAGCTAGATGTTAGGCTTTAATCAATATGACAGCACTCAAAAACGGCGTGCTCAAGAGCACTTAAGGAGAGCGAACTTTGCCCATTTCTCACTAAATTGGAATTCTATTTACTTCAATTCTCTGTCGCAACTTTGAATGTTCGCCTTCTTTGCGACCAACCGCTCTCCATTAGCAATATAATAACACTGATGCAATTTAAATGACAGTTAAGAGTGGATGTTGTCCCACTGTGCGTACAGCTGAGCTGCAGATGTCTGAATCAGAAGGCTTGAGTCTGAGCTTACTTTTCAACTCATATGCTAACTACAAACTACAGAGGACATCGTTCAGATATACAGTGCTGTGCAAAAGTCTTGAGTCAATCATCAAAGAGATAGGCACTCTTGGGATGAACCAGTGCTGTCTATATATAACACTAAACTTAGCAACCCCCCCCCCCCCCAAAAAAAAGCAGTTTTAAATTGTATTTTTAAGACACTTAGTTACTAGCAAAACATAATTTTCTTCCATTTCTTTAGTTAAATCTCTGAAAATTGCCAAAGATAACACAAAATTGAAGTGTTAGGCCTAGAAATAGCTAGACTTGAGTGTCTGAAAGTTATGTCTTTAGGAAACAGGGGGGAAAAAAGAAAGAAATCCATAAAAGACCTGACACAGGTCGTGGGAAATCCATCCGGCCCTCACTTGATACATCTACTGTCTGCAGAGGTCTCGCAAGAAATGATCTCAGTGGAAGGGTGAGAAAGAGCACCGGGGGAGAAAAGGCTGAGGGATGCCAAATAACACAAGAATTACTCTGAAAACCAGTGGTAGCAGGCCTTATGGCATTATGAACCTAAACTGAACACTTTTGTATGAAATCCTCGTCAGCAGGTACAGAGAAGGTGTAAAACATGGGGAGGCCATGTTTTAACTGCTCTTTGGAAATCACCAACAAGTTGTTAATGCAAAGGTAGAAACTCTTAAATGCTTGAATGAGTCATATGTTAGTGGGAAATGCCTTAACACGCACACATCAGACTTTAAAACATGAAGTGATATCCTGTGTCTCGATGTGATTATTAGTCATAAGATGATGTGATTAGTAAACTGGAAATGTGTTAATATTTATTTTTCCATCCTGGTAACACAACACTATCACTCTATGGTTTATTGTTTAGTATTTAGATTTGTACAAACTCAGAATATTTGCAGTTACAGTCAACATTTCTTTGCTGATATGTCACCAGGATGACTGCTGAGGGCCAGTGTCAGGTTTGTTTTAAAATAGCTCCATCTTTTGGTGTGCCATACTCATTACATTAGTACTGTACATGTGGAAATCTCCCCATCTGTAGATATCAGATGAATATGATGGAAGATATTGGTAATATAATTAAAAAAAATTGAATAAAGTTTGTGTTGAATACACTTGCTATTTTTAAGATGGGGAAAATATTTGACAGCCTCATTTTTAACTTTGAAATAGAAAGCACTTCAGACAAAAGAAGAAATGAAACTTTATATTTATTCCATTGTTGAAAAATAAAGTCACGGTTATGAGTGATGGGATGTGAGATGGGACATTTTTCACAGAAAAGGAGAAGGAAAATGTTAAACATATGACTCGTGACTTTTTAGAAAACATCCTTTTGTTTGTATTCGATATAAAGTATTACAAAAAATTTAAATGGTTGTAAAAACTGAGAAATGGAGACAGACAGTTATCAAGTATAGTAACGCTGGTCATCACAAGTTTGTAGAAATGTGTTTTAAATAAGTGTTATTGTAAGAAAAACAATACAATGCATCTTTGTTAAGTTATTGTAAAAATAGAGACCAACATTTTTTTTATGGCTATAATAGAGAATAAGAAGAATTAACATTTACAAAAAGTGTCAGAGTAGCCAAGTAAAAGTTGCTCATAGTAAGAAATCGGAAAGCAAATAAGTCTATATAAATTCTTATTAGCATTAGGGATTTTATGTGCAGGGGCATGCACCACGTAAAAAAGACAAGGACGCATGGTGCCTCAGTTGTATAACACATGGAAATAAAGGTTTATATGAAGGGTGAAGGATCAGTACCATCACACATTTGCAGCTCCAGGTGTGATGTGATGCCAGGGAACTGTTCTTGCAGTGGCAGTAAATAGCCCAAGGCCTCTCCTTGAGTTACCGGGCCGGAGTAACGATAAGGACGGATGTTGAAGATCTTCACGCAGTGTACTAAATGGGACCAAAACAAATATAAATCAATTATTTTGTGGGCATTAATTCCTTAATATCACCCTTAAAAAAATGCTCAGACAAATCAATGACTTAAGCTAACTCAGCTGAATAAAGTGCTTATTGACTACACACCAAAGAGTTTGAGTTTACTGTTTTATAACTTGCTATCAATCACATGTAAATCATAAGAAACTGATGAGGAAAATGCTCTGTATGAATGTGACGGCCTCATTTTGAACTTGTTAACTCTAGTTATTTGTAGAGTTTGCTTCCTTAATGTTTTCCAGCAGTCTGATCCAGAAATTGAGAGCAAAATGGCTGTATTTCCAGTTTTTCTCTGTGAGGAGTATTGGATATCTGACAGATGGGTGTGGGGGATAAGAGTGTGAGTCTGGCTTTTTGATTTTATATAAGTGAGAGCATTTTTAAATCAAGTCTGTAGAATTGGGAAGCCAGTGTAGCTATAATAAAACTAGTGCCCTCTGTTATGCATTTTAGTTACTAAGCTTGCAACAGAATTCTGATTAAGTTGCAGACCAGAAAAAAAGTGCATTGTAGCAATCCAAACTAAAAAAGATGAGTGCATGAACAAGTTTTTCGGACTGAGCAAAGGGTGGATTTTGGCAATATTCCCAAGATGGAAGAAGGTTGGCTTGGTAATAAGCTCGTGCCTGAAACTCCAAGACTTTCAACTTGTGGTTTTACCCTGTTAGCTTATTTCCCTAGTTTGGCTGAAGGATAGAGCTGTGGTAAGGTGGGTTTAGCATTCACTTTATCGTTGGCATATGAATAGTTCACTTGTGCAGCTAAAATCCTCTTCCAGCGTTTACAAATGTTACAAATGCAGGCTCAAGACCCTAAAAAAAACCTTAGATCTCGCCTTTACCAGCCGCCTAAACAAGCCGGCTGCCAACCTAGAAACAAACAACCTAAAAGTAGTTCTACAGCAAACTCACCAACATCATTAAATCTTAAAAGCACTTAATGATCAGTGTCTCAGCATTAATGTGGGCATCACGGTGAGGTAATGTGTCTCTGTGATGTCTAATCATGTCTGTGCTTTACCCGGAGATGAAAGGAGCTGACAGTACATGTGTTCTTCTGATAATACACTTCAATTATAAGGTGAGAGGCAGAATGAGGACTAATGATGTTTACTCATCATTCCAGCACCTTATCAGCTCAGGATGGTCTCAAAACACATTACCACGCATGAGCACATATACACATACAAATAGGTATACACCGCAAAGGAATACATGGGTATTTTAGGCACATACACAGATGCATTCCCTTTTTTCTCTAATGATGGCCCTTATGGGGGGTCATTACTCATGAACAGCCTTTAGTGGGGTTTCACATAGACCCCGATCTTAGGGGCTATCAGGAGGTCAATGCAGTCTCCGCTCGCGTTTCAGCACCTTAACTAATCCCTTTAAATCATTCCTTTTCATTCTCATGCAATGCCTCTACCATAATAGCATGGCCTCGCCTTTGCCCTAGCCATGGAACTATACAGTAGATTAAAGGAATTCACAGGCAACATTACAAGGTTACAAGGATTTAATTAAACCTGGTTTATGCTTATTTTCAGTTATAAAAATATCTCAATGGACTTCTAAATTGAATTTTTTAGAAATTGAAACAGACTTGCACACCGACTTATGGCCATACTAACAACATGGGTCTTTGAATGATATTCTGGTAGGCCATTTGACTGGTCTGCCACTTTGGTTCCAACTGAAATATTTAGACAAGTACTGGATGATTTGACGTATGTTTGGGTACAGCTATTCATGCAGTCACTGATTCATCCTAATGATGTGCTAAATATCTACTGAAATAGGTCTTTATCTGGTACAGGAATCGGTAAAGACCTGCAAATCTTTGTCCTGTTTATTTTGATTGAGACTCACATCTACAGTTTTAAAAACACTGTAATTTTGCTTGCTTTGCTAACTTTCAGGTATTGTGCTAGCATCTTGTCCCTCTTACCATCACTGAGGAGTTTGACTCCATCAAACTGATAACCAGCTGGGTCTTTCCGACTCACTGGACCAGCCAGAGAGCCTGAAAATGGTGTGTTGATGATCGAATAGTCATCACATACAAGGTCCACGGCTTTATAAAGGCCATTACCTCTGTAAAAAGACATGTGACAGAGGAGACTGGCATTAGTTTGCCATCAGAAAAGGCTAGATTCAATTAGTCATCTTAATCTGGCCAGAACAAAAATGTCTGATTAGTTATTTGGACATCATCTCTGTCTACAGAAAGTCAGCCTTCTACCCAGACAAAGCTTCACTCATCATTAATTCCAAGTGGTTTGGTAAAAATGTGCTTTGTCATTGTAGGGATCAGGCTTGGATACTATACAAAACTAGACATGGGGCAGTATCAGCGTCTGCATGTTGCAGTATGAGTAATCCTCTGAGGGCTCTGAGATAAAGATCTGATCAGGATTAGTCACCTTTGGGAGTTAAAAGCTCCACAGCCGTACGCATCACAAGCCCTCACTCTGTTGTGGTGACCGGCACAAAGCATGCTCCAGGCTTGGACTACAGAGAGAGGTAAAATGAAATAGGTTAGATAATACTTCTCCTTCCAAAATAGGCACCATATTAAAAGCTGCAGCACTGCACGCCAAAAGGCCAAGCATAAAGACGATATTTTTAAAAATATGTTTTAACATCCACTGACTGTGACTCATGCTCTATTCATGTGGAAATAAGGCCAATTACAGCAGAAAGGCACTATTCAAATGTCATTTACTGATGTCTTCTCCATCAGTTTTGTGTTACCCATACATACAGCCTCACTCCCACAATAACGTTTTCATGAGTCAGACTTGAAAAAAACTCTGCAAATCCATTTTAATTCCTTCTTGGCAGAAAAAAAGAATGAGCTGTGTGTTTGTGACCATCTGAAGAAGTTTGCAGGAGGTTTGTGTTATTGTAACATTTCGATATGGGCAGATGCATATTTCTATCATACCTGGCATGCAGCACTGGCGCGTCTTGGCCCCTGAACACTTGTCTTTGAGGTATCGGTCTTGGCAGATGTAACGGACTGGCTGGCAAATGCCTCCCAATCTAGTGCAGCTGATGTCACTTCTAGGTCCCATGAACACTCTTTTGCTTCCTGATTTGACTTTCTTTCCTGGAGTCACAGCCTTTGGCCTCCTGTCATGAGAACTTGTGAAATTTCCCTTCACCTTGAGTCTGCTGCTGTTCTTGTCAGGGCTTTGAATTTGTTCCTTTTTTCTCTCTCCATGTTCTAAAGCGCCACTTAACACCACATCTTGGGAGAGATGAAATGAAATGAGAGTTAGAGTTAAGAGTGTAATGGAGAAAGGATTAAAAAAGAGAATGGCTAGAAAATTTCCAGGTTGAAGGATTAAATCAAACTTTTCTGAGACTGATATTTGGAATGAGTTATGCAGTATTTGGAATATGAAGCAGCAGATTTTCTTTCTGTTCAGTTAATACCACTTACAGTCTGTGAAAAAGTATACGCTCCCTTCCTGATTTCTACTTTTTTTTTTTTTTTTGCATTTTTGCTACATCCATTTGCATCAACATTTGGCAATAAACTGATTCTGATTCTGATTCTGATCTGCTTATCCAATTCAGAGTCGCTCAAAACTCATAACTGCAATATAGACCGGGGCTGCAAAGTATCTCAAGCTGGAGTCCACGGTGTCACCAAAACTGCCTAAAGTATGCCTCACCTCCAAATCTCTCTCCTCAGTCTGAACCACCTAACCTATAATCTGTTCCTGAAGTGTACCATGATTTAGCAGAAGTGTTCGGAAACGATCTAGCTTTCTTTCTCCCTCCTCACCATCCTTTTGATTGTTTTACAGATTTACTTCCAGAAGCCTCACTGCCCACTAGTTGACTCTACAGTTTAACTAAACTAGAATGTGAAGCAATGGAAAAGTACATCATGGACTCTCTTGTAGATGGAAGTATTCATCCGTCTTCTTCTCCTTTTGGCGCATGCTTCCTCTTTGTCGAGAAGAAAGAGAAAACTCTCCATTCTTGCATTGATTTCAGAGATTTGCACAAAATAAGTACCATTACTGCTCCTTTTATCTGCCTTTGAACTCCTGCAGTGGGCTACAGTTTTTTTTTCCAAGCAGGATCTCCATAATGCATAACATCTATTGTGCATTAAGGAAAACAGCCTTCAGTACTCACCTGTGACACTTCTTATACCTGGTAATGCCCTTTGGTCTTACCAATGGTCTTACTGTTTTCCAAATGCTTGTCAATGACATTCTCTGTGACTTTCTGAAAAGTGATTTTCTTTGTTTTATCCTTGTTTACCTGGATGACAATTTGATTTTTAAAGTCCATCTCAGAACACTGTAAGTCCAGCAGCTCCTCCAATGCCTTCTGGAGAAGCTGTATGTTAATGGAGAGAAGAGCTCTAATGCTTTTTGAATGTTGCCACTCTATCCATGACCTAAGGAAAACCTCCTTGTCTATTACTGACTTCTCCAAAGTTTGCCTTCCAGTGAAACTCTTTGCCATGGCCTTGTTCTTATTCAACCAGACCCATCTCAGCAGTTCATTGTGGAAGTGGACGCGTCAGATTCTGAGGTAGGAGTTGTCTTATTTCAACAGAAAAATGGCAAAATTCACTCAGTGCATTGTTGGCGCCCATGAACTGCTGGTCATCAAGTTAGTCCTCAAAGAACGGAGACACTGGATGGAGCAAGCTGAGCATCTCTTTGTTGTATTTACCGACCATGACAACCCCCATTACCTTCAGACCACCAAACATCTAAACTTTTGCTTTTTACCAGATTCAGCCTAACCATCACTTACAGACCCGGCTCCCATAATTTAAAGCCTGACACAATGTCCCATTAATTCTCCACCTCTAATTCCACCTCAGAGAATAAAACCATCCTTCCACTTATTTGCATCATCAATTCCTTGGCTTGGGAAATAAAGTCTCTATTAGGGAATGCTTAGCGGGAAATAAGTCCTCCAGCTCCCCACCTTCCCCACTTCTTCAGACTCCCATTCACCCTCGGTCCCACCTGTAGTCCCATCTGACTACTGCCCAGATTAAATCCACAATGTCTTTCACATCACTTCACAGCTCAAACCTGTTCGGTCCAGTCCACTGTTTTGTACCTTTGTCTAATATTAAAATTTGCTTGATGATACGAAACACATAAGAGTGACAACTATGGCAAAAAAAGAAGAAATCATGAAGGGGGATAAATACTTTTTCACTGGACTGTTTATTTATATTACAACTAGATTTAGATATTAGGGATACCAGTTACATTCTGTCATACTTCACATAGATGTTTGCTTCAAAATGCCCCCACAAAAACACTATTTTAAAAGGATCACCTTCAAAATTGCAGTTTTTAGGTATTAAGGGAAAAACTTTTCTTGCATTTTCTTGATTAGTTAATAAAGTCACCAAGTAAGTCTTAACACACTGTAGGACGCCTTTTTTCAGGGTTGAATGGTGTTACTTGTCTATATAGACAGACAGAGTCATAGTTCAGTTATTCATAGTATGTTTAATTCTGACAGCATACTAATTATCCTGCCCAGGCATGAGTCTTTGATCTTCATTAACCTCAGAAGCACATAAAATCTTTCAATCACACTGCCCTGGCACAAGAACACACATTGGGCTCAGTGATTGAAAGAAGCTGCTTATCACTAGAAGGCCTTAATGAGTGGGCAGAATGGTTGGCTGTGGCATGGAAAAGCAATTTTCCTCAGCATGCGAACTAAATTAGAAAAGACCAAATTTTTTTGACATGTGCAAGTGTGCCTTTTGCCTCAGCAAAATTAGATAGCATTAAAGGTTTGCTGCAGTTTTACTAAATGTTTGTTTATGTATTGCCAGGCTTCTACTACATTTTAAAGCAGCTGCAGTGTTAGGCTGTTAACAGTTAAGGTACTAACAGTTAACCTGAAGAGATGAACACATGCAAAGACAGACACAGCACTGATTGGCAAGCACATTTCCATTAACTCCACTTGACTGGATACCTCTCATGGAACTGCAGGGTTGTGTCCACTGTGGTGCACGAATCATTTTCATCTCAGTAGAAAGATGGCTGTCTCATTTTCATGTCGCTCAGCAATCCCCCAGAGTTACTGTGCCTTAAGCTTTTTAGTTAGATGCAATGATGTAATGTTGCATTAAGCACTCAGTCATGCTTTAAATGTGTCATCCACTTGCGCCAACTCATAGTCTCTCTGGCAATAGGCTCGAACCCCCCAAGGTTCATGTTTACAGGAGTTTACAGTCTCCTAATAGGGCTCAGTTCATGGTAATTTGCAGGGCCAAGCAGATGTTTATGCACCATTTATTGTTTCCATAATAGGAATCTTATTACACTGCTGAATGAAAATTTGTGTCCTATGTACCCTAATACATACTTTTAGCATGTGGATTCAAGTATTTTGTGGGAATGCACGTGTCCATGTCTGTATGATCTACTTAATACAATTACTAATATATCCCAGACATATTCCATACACTATGATGCACGCTAGAATAGTGTGCATTTTGCAGGTGGCAATTTTATACGAAAGTGACTTACGTACAGCATAATAAGAGCGCAGATATGACACAGATCCTAAACAGTCTTCCCATCATCAGGTCAGAAATAAAAAAAAAATCTGTAGAATGATGAATGAACAACAGAAAATGTTTTTAATCTAATCAAACAAGTGTCCGATAAATGTAATCTTTGTATTAATATCAACTATATGGCTAAATCCTTCAATAAAAAAAGTAAAAAATATAGCTTGGGTTTTGTTTGTTTTTTTAAATATAATACTAGGAAATCTGTCTCAAATCTCAAAGGAACACACGGAAATGATGGAATAATACTGAGACTTTTTAGAGATAGAAAATTGAACTAGACTTACCAGTCATGTGCAGATGCTGAAGAGTGGCTCCCAGCTCAGTGGGAAGGAACACAAAGAAGGGACTGTTGGAAAACCAGCCTGCTGTGGAAGCTACACGCCTGAGCCACAGGACATCCCCCAACTGTCAATATTGACATTGGCTGCTAGAAAGCATACCCTTTTACTGGCTCAAAAAGCTCAAGTTTACTTACTTTCTACTGCTACACTAAAAGCTAACGATTAGGACACACACACACACACACACACACACACACACACACACACACACACACACACACACACACACACACACACACAGCTTGGCTTCAGTAAACATTAAATCTACTTGAGAACTTTCAGTTAAAAACTCGTTTTATGTATTAGACAGTAAACAGTAACTTGGGAAAAGCACCAGCTGTTATGGCTAATCTAAATATACAACAGGTGATATAACAATGAAATGCTTATAATATTTAAAAAATGTTGTTTTAAAGTTCTTTTTATTGTCTCCAAGAAATAAAGTTTATACTGTTTTGCCAATTTCACAGTAGTGGGAACAACCGCTGGCACTATTAGGTTATGCATAGTTGCACTGAACTCTGACTCCTAGCATGGCTCCAATTACACCCCTCCAATAAACTCATTAGTATATGTGGTGCAGTCAGCAGGTGCTTGACTGTTGTGTCAAGCTTAATGAGACAACAACAACGAAGAAAAAAGAAAAAAAGAAGGAGAAAGAAAAATTATTATATTCATACCGTGAGACTGGCATCTTTCATTGCATAATTTGCCTCCGCGAGGCAATGGAAGTTAATCAATGATGAATTTCTTCCTCTCCCTCCGGGAGAGTGAAAAAGACGTACATGGATGAATGATGGATGGATAAACACGTGAATGTAGGCTATTTTAGACATTGCTTTGTGCAGAATAGAGAATGGGAAAGCCAGAGATGAGAAAAAAGGGTTTAATTGAGGTTACACACATTGTATTCTAGCCAAAGAAAGGAGCTAAGTGTTCTGTCTTGAGTAACTGGGAATGCCCAAAATGTGGTTACTGCACTTACAAAAACTAATAAAAGCCCTCAGAATAGGCCTTGCTGTGATGAATTTAGAGTTGATTCATAATAAATAATTAGTAATTGAGTTAACAGATGTACAACTCAAACATCTGTTTAAATGAGCCACAGAGATAAATGTGTGGTTCTTTCGTTGCAGCAACCAGTCAAAATTAATTTCAAAAATGAAGGGCTATATCTCTGTATGTACGTCCAAGTGTATTTTTCTCTACTGATGTATTGTGGTCAGCTGGTTGCTCTCTCTGAATTTACAATTTACTGAAAGCAGAGGAATGGATTCAATAGCAGCCAGTAAAGAGTTGAGCCTTTTGCAGCCAGACAGCTTTGATAATCAAATATCTGGGCAGAGGATTACACTGATGGACCATATGGCTTGGAATTTGAAAAAGAAGAGAGGGAATTAGGGAGACTAATAAAAGACAAGGGAACAGAAAAGGAGAGAATAATTAGAGCTGAAGTGGTAGTGCTCAAGACTGAGCAAGTGAGGGAGGGAACAAGTGAAAAAAAAACACAGGGAAGTGAGAGAAATAGCAAAGACAGTCGACTGGGCAAACAGAAAATGAGAATGAAGCAGCAGAAATTCCAGCTAGCCTATCTGCATCTCAAACATGAAAGAAAGGCTGGTGTTGACTCAGTGAAAACCCTTTGATAAACATGGCTGCTTAAATAAAAACATGTATCACATTCTTCAAACTCCTGGGAGGACAGAACTGACATTTCACTCCTGCTTCTCTGTCAGTTAGTTCTGGCATTTCAAGGAGACAGAGAAGAGATGCCACAAGTGTTTCCTAGCAACAGTTCGCTGCAAAACCCTTCTCCTCCTCCTCCTCCCACCTTCTCTCCTCCGCTCGCCTCCCCCTAGAACTCCCTCCATCCCTGAGATACGAGTTGCAGCAATGCACCACTTGCTTTAGACCTGAAATACATTCTAATTCTCCTGACCCTCCCTCCCTCTCCCTCCAGTTCCCTTCAGCACGCTGCCAGGCCTGCATCAAATGACATTCAGGCCGCTGTCATCTGTAAAGAAAAAGCATACAGCCAGGCTATTCCCTGTGAAGGTTGAAGGCACTGCAACTGAGAAGTGTTGGCAGACAAAGTACTAAAAGAATGCAGCAATATTTTACCTTTTACACGGTGAGCGGTTAATGTGCATGAGCCTGACTCTTACTCTTTCATTTGATTTCTTTAGCACCTCTTTGCTGCTTAGGTAGAAAGAACATCTCACAAAAGCAGGCTTGTGAAAAGACTCTGTGGTCTGTTTATGGCCTGGAACAGCTTTGAGGGTCTAAATCAGCTTTCGCAACACAGCGGCCCAGTCACATCAACTTGGCTCTGTCGATTTGTAAACATATTCATGGGACTTGGGGAGCGGGTATTTAGCCAGCCTGAGCAGACAAACAGAGCGCTGTAGGGTGTGGGATAAACTTGATGGTGCTGGTGGCAGCAGACAGGGGGCACCAAAGTCTTAATAATTTGTTCTATTAAAAGCATTTCCTATGTTTGAAAGGGCATTGAACTGAAGTCTGCCCATATCTGTAGGGAACAAACCAACAGCATTTAGCCAGACAGGACATTTCAGCATATACAGATGTCCATCTATGTTTTTCATCTGTCTTGTGAATTTTCACAAGCCGTAACAAGCAGTGAGACAATGGAGCAAGAGACTGAATGTGACTGAAATCTTAAGCCTCGGCTACCTCAAAGGTGCGTCCTTACATCATATGGTTGCAGTGTTATTCTACAAATGTAATCATATAATGCGGTGTATGCACAGAGCCTGTGGGACACTACACTACACCATATGGTTGCAAAAATCTTATCAAAGTACAGTGGAAGGAGCCATAGACTCTTTAAAAACTCACCAGCGTCTGTCTGTCTCTTTATTTTCTAATGAAGCTGTCTGGTGAAGTAAAAATTTACCAAAAGGTAGCCATGTAGTAGCACTTGTGCTGAAACAAATAGTCAGTTGACACCTACATTTACTTCATGTTGCTTCAAAACCTTCATTCTCAGAGAACTAACACAGCCCGTGACACAGCAAATAAAAGATGTGAAGGACAGAAAAGTTGAAGTCACAGATGACAAAGTAAAACTAGCTCACTGGCGAGGAAGGGAAAGCTCAAAGGCTCAGACTGGAGCCTTTGAACTGTGCATGAGTGGACACAACAGCAGAATGTGATAGGCCAAGAGGATGGACGTCTCACAGGCCACGTCCAGCGACGTATGCATCAAGACACGGTTCTGTGATTGATAGATCATTGCGGAGGAGGGAGAGAATATCAGGCACAGCAAGAAAGATGTCTGAATCACATCCCTTTGCTTTGATCGGGAAGAAGGCAAAGGTAGGCAGCACAAGATGGGGCCGAGTAGGAAAAAAATGAATGAAGAGAGAGCAAAAAAAAACTGGAAGTCAGTCTCTCATTATCTGATCCCAGCTGGGGACTAAAAAAAGGAGAGATTTCTTAGAGAGAGTTTGATTCAGGGTCTCTCCTTTTATATAAAACTTTCCAAGACTTGCACCCGCTGAAAACAGCCATGCAGGAAGAGCAATCACACAACCCTCACAAATTTCGTGTTCGGCACTTAGCAGTACTTAGAAATTCTATTTCGAAAAGAAATTGAGAAACATATTGTGTTTATGAGAAAGCAGATCCCAGGTGTTAAATGTGGCAGACACAGACAGAGAAGCCACTGGGTCGATTAGCCTGCTCTGTGAGGTTGCATTGATGAGCAGACAGCCCAGATAACCCTTATTTTCACGTCCAATATTGTTGTTCCAAACTCGCATAGGTGAAATTGACTTGTGTAAGTGAGGACAATACATTTCAAGTAAGTTCCTATCTAATGCCTGCTCTCATCTAAACAACATCTCACTTGAAGTCTGTTCATTAAGAGGTACCTAATTACGCCCACATTATCTATAATTACAGTATTTTTACATCACGCTTCCAAGATAAAACTCCTTTAATGTAGCTTCAGTGTATAATTAGCATTAGTAGGCTCCTACTGCACACATAATTAGAGAGAAATTGATACTAATACACCTGTGTAACAGGGCAAAGGGAAAAAAAAGTACTATTGTATCCCCAAGTTGCAACATAAACCATTTCACAGATATGATGGTTGCAAGACAATGTGTGTCTGTGAATATTATACACCGAAACCCTGTTGGGATAATACTCTGTTTTAAAAGAGAGATGTGATATTAAGAAAGCCGTCCCATCATGTATCAGTGAAAAACAAAAAATCTATGGAAAAGTGTGTTGTTGGGCTCATGCAGTAAATGCTTAAAGAGATGCAGGTGGAGTGACATAAACCTGCAAAAGGCTTTGTTTTATTTGGGTCTACCTGCCCATGATGTTCAGTTTGCAGCTGAAATAGAATATCTCATCTTGATGAGCAAGGTGAGGAGATGTATTTTAAGCAGCTTCAAGAACCACGAGAAAGAAGAGTGATTATTATGAATCTATAGCTACAACTGAGTAAAGCTAACTGATGTGCTATTTTTATCCAGCTGCTAAAGTCTATAGAAGAGCAGTGGCTTACAGTATGTGTTAGCGGGATTGGTTCATTATTGGTTTTGTCTTTTTGCTGAATAAGTAAATAACTGAAACCAGCTGATGCCTTTTATTTTATTTGTAATAGATGTGTGTATAAATGTTTGATTTTAGGGGCTCGTGGTTACA